ACACTCGAAGTGGATTGGTCTCTCTAAGCGAGATCCCAATTCGTCGGTCATCCAACGTGACGTCTCCGTTCCCTCCTTCAGGGAACGAGGGTTACATACGTAACCGAGACGTTTTCCTCTCTCTTCTTAAAAAAAAGAAAAAGAAAGAGGAATATATATATCTCAGGATTGGATTGGGTCCATCCAATCCTGAGATATAGAGAGGAAGAGTTCCTCTTTATTAAGGAGCAGCGGGATTACATGGGCAATTCAAAGTTTACTTCAGGATGTCAGTGGCTCAGTTTGATGTTTTGCTAGCAGGGGCGCGGGAAGATGTTTTCGGTTGGGGGTGCTGTGTGTGTCCGTGTTGGGGGGGCTGTTTCACTTACGTCGGTGCTCGTGCTGGGGCTGTTGTTGTTTGGATGCCGATTTTGGAAAGTTTTTGCTGGGATGGGCATTTAAAAAAATCTGATATTCGCTTTTGCGCCATTATCTCCTTTTTAAAGTTTTTAATACTTTTTTAAAGTATTAAAGTTAATCTTGTTCGCATTCTGTATAGTTCATGTCTGATACCACGCGCTAGCGTCACGTGTTCATGAGGATTAGGCTAATCATCCCATATAGAAAACATCACAAGTTAAATTAATCATGTTTATAAAGATAAACATGGGTTTGTTATAGCCCACTTACAATTTACATTTCAGAGATCATTACAAATAAATTATTAAATGCTAAAACTGAATAAATTTAAATGAACAAACTTGCCGTTGCATTTGCAACCATGTGAAAACAGGGGGTGCTGCAGCCCCCTCAGCACCCCTACTTCCCGCGTCCCTGGAAAGATACTAACTTTTCAATCTGCTACATTACTAACTGTACTGACGAACTATGCAGACATGCTGTCTGCGCTGCAACAGAACGCGTCAAAGCGACCGTTGAAAATCATTTGAACTTCTGTCCGCACATCATAAATAGAACGAGGCATCAGTTTACTGAATCCGGTGTAGACAACATAATGGGTTCAGACATGCTGTCTGCGCTGCAACAGAACGCGTCAAAGCGACCGTTGAAAATCATTTGAACTTCTGTCCGCACATCATAAATAGAACGAGGCATCAGTTTACTGAATCCGGTGTAGACAACATAATGGGTTCTATTCTACACCGGACGCGAGCGGCGCGACAAAATACAATAGAATAGCAATGTGATGTGACCAATGTGATAAGCATGAGTTCTTGGCCTCGGCGCGGCCGGTAAACACCAGCATTGAGTGGCCGCGATCAGCTCCGGTGGCCGTGAAGTTAATGCGCTGCAGACGCGTGCCGTGAAGCGCAGATCAACTCTAGTCTCTAACGTCACTGAATCTGCTGTTAAAATGAACCATCCATTCATCATATCATCATGCAAAACAAAGAATTAGAATCATTGTAATGTGACGATCAAATATAGGTGCGGGTGGGTGGCGGGCGGATAATTTGAAGCAGCGGACTCGGGTTAAGTTTGAGCTCATCCGCGCATCTCTACACTACACTGACCTGGGTCCAGTAGCAAACAATGGAGCATGCTCTGCTGGACAAACTAAGTAATTACACCATTCAGAAGCATTTAATCTGCGTTTTATGTTCTGTAAAAAAAAAGAGTTCATATCGGCGGCATATTCGCCGATACCGATATATCGGCGACAGGCTCATATCGGCCGACAATATCAGCTAAACGATATATCGGTCGGGCTCTAATAATAATAATAAAAAATTTAACCCATATAACCTTGTATTCTACTAAAAGATTGTTACGACACCAAAACTTTAGATACTCGCGTATTTTCTGAATCGTCTATTACAATTTCGATATCACAGCGAAAATATTAGTCTAACTACTATAAAATGTAAAGATCAACAACAGTCAGTAATAAAATAGAACAAATTACAAGCAATAGGACAAATAAATACAACAGAAAAAAGAAAACTGTCTGTCAAATAGTGCATGTGCACCGAATTGAGCTTATGATTGAATGGTTTAAAATTGCAAAAAAAAAATTAATTCTCAAGACCTAAAAAGACATGCAAATGCTAAACTTTTGTGACGTTGCAACAATGTCAACTGAATAAACAATAAATAACACAAATTCTATACAGATCGTTGATGACGATTTCCATTTGTCAGGCATCAGTCTTTCAAATGAACCACCTAAATTATTATTAGGTTATAATAATTAGTATACAAATGTCTCCACGATTACATAAATGTACTGAGATTAGAATGCAATTCAATTGGAAAACTGAATGAGCAAATACCCTGTTCATGAAATTTAGTAAAGGAAAAATACTTTTTCAGGCCTGTATCCAAAAAAGTAATATTTACTGTCTTTATTTCCAGGTTTTCCATAACTCAACCCTGAGAATTGCTCTTGACAAACCATAGATTTATGTGACTGTCTTGCTTAATGATATTTCTTAATAGGTTCATGTTTGAAACTAGATTCTAAAGTATTTGTTGACAACTCTAAAAACCCATTTAACTAATGGATGGAGATACTACCAAACACATAATGGTTTAAATGCTTCAGCTTCCCCAATTAATTATTGTTCCTTCACCTGATATTATTCACCTATTATTTTATTCACCTGATATAATTACCCAAGTAAAATCCGCGTTAACTTAAGTAACCTCCCATTTATCACACTTCATCATGTAATTTGCTCTAAGAAAACCGAGAGTATCTCTTCCTCAGTAATATTCCATGTCCATGCTGCTTTCCGCTGCTGAAGCTGACACACAACGAACAGCGGAAACGATGAAAACCGTCTGACGACGACAACAGCTGACAACCCAAGTAATCAACGAACAAAAACAAGATTTTTGTCAACTGATATAAATATACCGACAAGAAAGCAGTCGCATGAAAGATGCTGTGAAAGCATGGCATGAATAAACTTGTGACGACGCTAACGGAACACTAACGTTAGCCAGACACCACCATTTCACTTTATAAATAAAATAACCCCTAAAACAGCAACAGCTTGAGCTATCTCGGTCGCAGCGAGCTGTCCCGTTGTCCTTATTATATTTTCTTCGGTCGAGTCTTCATGAGACAACAGATTTAAAGAGGACAGCTCGGGTCAGAGGCGAGTGTGCTTTAGCATTTTAGCATCAAGATGGCTTGAGTGAGTGAGTGAGTGAGTGGATGTGCCGGTGACTCTCACCAGTGCCAGTTGTTGACATTTGTAGCATCCGCTCTCTCCTCCACGATCCAGCGAGGGTCTCCTTCTCCCCACTTCGCCATAATGATTTAATACAGATATTCTGCTTTAAATGAATGAAGCTGTGGGTTGTGACAGAAATGTGTCCGCCACGCGTGAACTCTCGCTTCTGGAAGCCTCTCGACTGCTGCCTCAATTTGTTGCTCGTAGAAATGACTGGAAACGGAAGTGAGTCGCGCTCAAAGCTCTCCGTGCTAAACACTGGCTGCTTGGAGAAGATTCCGCACGAACCTGTTACACGTGAGATGCCAAACAATTCTGTGTAGCTCCATACAAAACAAGAGAAATTTTGCGTAGATGTAGTTCTGTTTGTTGGTATTACTAACAGTTTTTTTTGTTTGTTTGTTTGTTTTTGGACATGAACCGTAGCAGTGACATTTGTTCTTGGAAATACAGTACCTTGTAGTACCACTCAATTTGTTGCTCGTAGAAATGACTGGAAACGGAAGTGAGTCGCGCTCAAAGCTCTCCGTGCTAAACACTGGCTGCTTGGAGAAGATTCCGCACGAACCTGTTACACGTGAGATGCCAAACAATTCTGTGTAGCTCCATACAAAACAAGAGAAATTTTGCGTAGATGTAGTTCTGTTTGTTGGTATTACTAACAGTTTTTTTTTGTTTGTTTGTTTTTGGACATGAACCGTAACAGTGACATTTGTTCTTGGAAATACAGTACCTTGTAGTACCACGTAAATTATGAAAGAATTTAGCTGACTTTTGAAATGTATTGTGCAGAATGGCAATGTAAAATTATATGTAAGTGGCAGATTACTTGTCTGTAAATAAGGACCTTGTTTTTGCAATGACGTCAACATAAAAATTCGAAAAAAGCTTCTTTGTAACTAGATTTAAAACGAGATTCTTCAGCAATAATTTAATCTTAGTTTTGAAGCAAGTTTTTAAAAAAAAAACTATTTATTAAGTGTGTGTGTGTGTGTTTTAGAGAAACAAAAGACATTACATGCTGGTTAACACATTTGTCTTTACCATTTACAAAAATTAATTATTACCAACGGATTACAATTTAAACATTCAGTCAGGATTGCGTGTTGGTTCAAGCAACTAGACTGTGAGAGCAACAACACTTTACATGTGTGATAGTCTTTTGAACTGTAGATGATTTTTCAGCATTCATTGCAATGTGTTTGTGACACTGAGATCACTTACCCTAAGCTGTTTTCCTCTGCACAAAGGCACAATGAAGCTCCTGATTGTGGCTGCACTTTTTGGACTGTGTCTTGCCCAGCACAACCCAAACACTAAACATAATAGGACCTCCATTGTTCATCTGTTTGAGTGGCGGTGGGCAGATATCGCTGAAGAATGTGAGAGATACCTGGCACCAAATGGCTACGGAGGAGTTCAGGTATGTTTACAATGCTTATTGATTCCAGCACAAATTCGCCTGCACTATTTTTAAGTAACAGAATGATAAATGTGATGTTTTGAAACTTCCTGAGCTTTCAGATTAGATATGTACAGAAGGTTTTGAATTATAAAGGATTATAAAAAATGTGAAAACCTATAAAATAACAGTTCGTTGTTGTGTTTAATTTGACAGATCTCTCCCCCCAGCGAGAGCATTGTAGTGACCAATCCTTGGCACCCTTGGTGGCAGAGGTATCAACCAATCAGCTACAACTTGTGCTCCAGATCAGGAACTGAGGAAGAGCTGAAGGACATGATCACACGCTGTAATAATGTTGGGGTAACACAAAACTAAAGCTCATAGCATCGTACCTCAAAAACAGTCAAATGATGATGCTTCAATGCAATTGATAACTATGCAGCATCTCCTTTTGTGCTATTGTGCCGTCATGTAGGTGAACATATATGTGGATGCAGTGATTAATCACATGTGTGGAGCCGCTGGTGGAGAGGGCACTCACTCCAGCTGTGGATCATACTTCAATGCCAACAAGGAGGGCTTCCCCTCTGTTCCCTACTCATCATGGGACTTCAATGATGACAAATGTAAAACTGCCAAAGAAGAGATTGAAAACTACAATGATATTTTCCAGGTTCTTGTTTGCAGCAGTGTTTTTAACTCTTCTGTGTAAATACTTCAAGACATGTTCTTGTTGTTGACTCCATCTTGTTGATTTGGTGTTGACAGGTCAGGGACTGTCGCTTGGTGGCTCTACTGGATTTGGCCCTGGAGAAGGACTATGTTAGAGGAAAAGTAGCTGAATATCTGAACAAACTGATTGACCTGGGTGTGGCTGGATTCAGAGTTGATGCTTGTAAGCACATGTGGCCTGGTGACCTTACTAACATCTACGACAGACTCAAGACTCTCAATACCACTTGGTTTTCTCCAGGCACCAAGCCCTTCATTTATCAAGAGGTATCAGCATCCCATCAAGACCAGAGTTATTTAAAATGGTTGTTGAAAACATTAACACAAATGCCTTTTTTTCAGGTGATCGACTTGGGTGGGGAGCCCATTAAAGCCAGTGAATATTTTGAACTTGGAAGAGTGACAGAATTCAAGTACAGTGCGAAACTGGGCACAGTCATTCGTAAATGGGACAAAGAAAAGCTAAGCTATCTCAAGTATGCAACAGTAACTTATATTATGACACCGCTCTCTGGAAAACTTGATTCTGATTGGTCAAATGCAGCATTGAGTAGCCATATATTCCTGTATATATGCTTGTTTTTTATCTGCATTTGTACTTAAAATCATGCTCAGCAAAGTTTTGGCTTCTAAGAGTTATTGAAAGAGTTGTAAACTGTGTTTTGTTTTAGGAACTGGGGAGAGGGTTGGGGTTTCATGCCTTCTGATAGAGCTGTGGTGTTTGTGGACAATCATGACAATCAGAGAGGCCACGGTGCTGGTGGAGCTTCTGTTCTGACATTCTGGGACTCTAGGTAAGATATTTTGCTGAAGAACTACGACTATTCCTACTGTGAGTGGAATGTTTTACATTGTGAATTTTGCAGGCTTTATAAGATCGCTACAGGACTCATGTTGGCTCATCCATACGGTGTGACCACAGTCATGTCTAGCTACCGCTGGGATCGACATTTTGTGAATGGAAAGGTAAACGCTTTCACATAAAATAACGATTACATTGAAGTCTTATAGTTGGTTAAACCCACATGCTTGACATTATATGAATGAATAGTAGTATATTAATAGTAGGGCTAATGTGATTATTAGGGGTATGCGATTGCAAGTAGCAATGAAAAGTTAATTCTGCACTAAGCTGATCTAATAATTAATGTTTGTTAAAAATGTTATAGATTTATGTAGAAAATGAGAATCATTAAAAATTCATCACCAAATATATTTTGAGACAACTTTCTTGTTAATGTTCAGTTTTGTTCAAGGTAATTAAAACAACAGTTTATTTGTTTGTTTTGAGGAAGAATGTGTAAAAGTATGGTACTTGGGGTAAAATACACCCCTGTTTTTGGAGCTAAAGGCACAATAATTGACGTGATCATAAATAGCTGACTTCCATGACAAGATGGGCCCTCCAAATGCACCAGTGTTAATTTTGACAGCAAATTTTGATTTGGTTTTAGTCGTAGTCTTTTGGCTAAAATGCCATTTAGTTTTAGTCATATTTTAGTCATCTGAATTGTTTTTAGTTTTAGTCATATAAGATTTTAGTCGACTAAATCTACAGTAAATTTAGTCGGCTAATATCTAATGGGTTTAGTTACAGTGCATTTATTAAGCATTTCTCTAAAATTTCCAAAGTCATTATATAGGTTTGATATAAAGGTTTTATCATGATTTATCATGATTTAACTGTGGTGACACACAACATGCCTTTGTTAAAATTAAATAAAACCACTTCTCATAAAGAACAAGAACATGGTCTTCTTTTTAATGAAATACCAACGGTTATATAGGCTAATTATGCATTCTTTATAGCAACTTGTTTACCATATTAATTCTTTCAAGCAGATATATTTATTTCTATAAATACATTTAGATTAATCTTTAGGGCTAAAGTTTTTCAGTCAAGAGCAGTGCATGATTTTCTGTCTTTCTGTTGTTGCTTGATTAACATCAATGACTCGGACAATAGCAACTAAATTAGGCTGCTATCCCTTTAAAACCGAATTGTCAATAGATTTATGTCATAGTTTTTGTCATTCAAAAAGAGTTTTAGTTCGTTATCTTCTCGTCGTCGGCGAAAAAAATGTCGTTGACAAATTATGACAAAAATTATTTGTCAACGAAATTAACACTGAAATGCACAAAGTTCAAATGATCGATACAATTGGTTAAGTTGGGCATCTACCTTAGTGTCACACCCATGGACATTTTGTTGTGTTTTCATTCCCCATGTGCTCTGTGTGACCCAGTTTTTCCTCGTGTTTATGTTAGTCAGTTCACCTGTGTCCTCATTAGTTGATCTTCCTCACCTGTCTGTCCCTCATTAGCACCCCTACTTTAGTTCTAGCCTGTTCAGTTGTCCCTCGTCCGGTATTGATGTTGCTGTATGTGATGTGCTTCGTGTGGCTCCTGTCTGCCTTTGTGGATTTACCCTCATGTGGATTATATTAAATACTGTTTGAATTCATCTCCTTCTTCGTGCGCTCCTCATTCCACCATAGCGTGACAGAATACCGGACTGACAAAAGAAAAAAGTAAGCGGCGCCTTTCCCCCTGTTTTGTTTTGTCATTTTTTAAAAAAGTTTTTCTTTTTGTTATGGATGACCCTGCCGTCCTCGTCCTCCTGCTAGAGCAGGGGGATTGCTTTCTCGAGGACCACACTAGAGACTTTGTGTTCTTGGCCAACCAAGACCAATGTTCTTGGACATCGCGGATGACGACACCAGCCCCACTCTGGACCCAGAGCCCAGCCCACCATCACCTCGCTGCACGGAGCAAGAGCCTGAGCCCGCCGCGACTGATGAGCCATCGCCTAATGGAGTGACAGATCTGAGGATCGCCCCGGAGCCAAAGCCCGTGACGTCAGACCAGGTGCGAGAGCCGGCTACAGTGCTCGCCATTGGGGGAGAGCGCTATGGACAGCGAGAGCGTGGCGGGAAGCTCCACCCACTGCACCATGGCTGAGGATGAGCCGAGCTCAGTGGAATATTACGCGGATATATATGCAGACATGCCCTCACTTCTCCCGCCTTCGTCTGAACTCTCTGCCTGCCCTGAACTATCTGTCTGCCCTGAACTGTCTGCCTGTCCTGAAACGACCACGGAAGTCGTTCCCCTATCGTTGGCGCTCCTGGAGCTGGGAGTGGCCTTGTGGTGTGTGTGTGGGCAGCACACACTGTTCCTAAGCCCCTGATCATCCTAAACTCCCGCCCAGCCTCCCTCTCCCACCACCTCTGCACCAGTCCTCACCATCATCACTGCTGTCTCCTCATGGCTTCGTGGCTGTAGGATCCCTTGTCTCCGCCTCCAGCATCTGAGTCCTGGAGTCCACCTCGGCCCATCAACCCAGCAGCTCCACCATGGCTCCTAGCTCCCTCCTCTCCGCCGTGGCCCATCAGTCCACCAGCTCCTCTGGGCTCCCTCGTCCCTCCGGCTCTGCCTTGGTTTGTCGTCGACCATCCGTCGCCTCGGGACTCCACTCCTCCAGCTGTGCCTCGTCCCTCCATTCCTCTGGCTCTGTCAGGCTCCTCCTTCCCTCCGGCTCCGCTGCGTCACCCTGGCTCGTTGGCTCTCCGCCTCGGGCTCCACCACCACCTGCTCCGCCGCCGTCGGTCGGCCCCATGGAGTCGTCAGCCCTTCCTCCACCATGGCTCCTCCCTCCGTCAGCTCCACCGTGGGTGGCCATTGTGATTGCGGCCTGGGTCCCGCCTGGCTCCTCCTGCTCCAAGTCCCTCCTGTCCTCTCCCTGGCTCCTCCCTCCATCGTCTCCATCCTGGCTTCTGTTTGTCGTCCTCCTCCCAGATGTCTGTCCTCCGCCCAAACCTCCTCCTGAATTGTCTGCCTGCCTTCCTGTCAACCCTTTGCCATCCCCTGTCACCATCGCTTCTCCACTCCTTGTGCCCTCCTAAGTCTCCGTCCATCCCTCTTTTCGTTGTTCCTGCGGCGCAAGGCCGCGCCTTACGGGAGGGGGGCGAACTGTCACACCCATGGACGTTTTGTTGTGTTTCATTCCCCATGTGCTCTCTGTGACCCAGTTTTTCCTCGTGTTTGACTATGTTAGTCAGTTCACCTGTGTCCTCATTAGTTGATCCTCCTCACCTGTCGGTCCCTCATTAGCACCCCTACTTTAGTTCTAGCCTGTTCAATTGTTCCTCGTCCGGAATTGATGTTGCTGTATGTGATGTGCTACATGTGACTCCTGTCTGCCTTTGTGGATTTACCCTCGTGTGGAGTATATAAATATAAACACTGTTTGAATTCATCTCCTTCTTCGTGCGCTGCTCATTCCACTGTAGGATGACACTTAGAGATAATCACCATATTTATAATGAAAACAATTATATTTGAAAATATTATATTAATCATCTAAGAACATAATTTGTTGTTAATGTAAGGCCATATTAAATTATTATGGGATCTCCTTCAAGCACTGTAGGAAGCGTTCAGTTTCTTTTTTATTTTATTTTTTATGTTTTTAAAATGAACAAATTTTAATGACAGTGTATTTATTAAATAAGGCATATTTCATTATTTTGTCTATTGAAATCAACAGAATATGGTATAAACTGTGCTGAAATTATTATTTTGAACAACTGTTAACCATGATGGTGAGCCTTTTACTCCGAGTGTGTCGCCACATATATTTATATAATTTTTAAACAAAACAAACTACTTTTATGATTTCTTTTCTGACAAAATGTGTTGCTCCTTTAATGTTCTGTAAAAAATATGTATTTTTCTACAATCATGCACAATGGGACTAAAGAAAAGCACATTTTCCTTAAAGGGGTCATATGATGCCCATTTTCCACAAGTTTATATGATTCTTTAGGGTCTTAATGAAAAGTCTGTAACATAGTTTGGTTAAAATTTCTCAATGGTAGTGTAAAAACACCTTTTTTTACCCTGTCAAAAACAGCTCTTTTCAGATCAAGCCGTTTTTGTAGCATTTCCCTTTAAATGTTAATGAGCTCTGCTGACCCCGCCCCTCTCTTCCGAGCTGCTCTCAGAGAGACTGTTTACTTTAGTCGTGAAACTTTTTAATTAGCACATTATTAGGAAAGGCGATTTGCAAAGATTCATTACAAAACATTCTACTCATGAATGATTCATGAATGATTCGCACGAACATAGACGCATTTAGGCAGATCGGAGGGCGCATTCCCTTCAGAAACAAACAAAATCCACTGCGAGTTCACCGGCTCAGATGTCAGGAGTAAACGACGACTGCTATGTTCATTATTAAATGACAACTGCTGTGACATCACACAGACAAGCATCTGAGATCGGCTCGATTTGAGAAAGGGGAAAACATTTAACGAGATTTAAACAAAAACACAGGGTGGATTTTTATCATTATAGGGTGGTTGTGTACACACACTGCCAACACACATTTCAGTTCAAACAACTTGTAAAAGTGCATGTAGCATCCTATGACCCCTTTAAGTTGTGCCATGAGTGTGCTAAATGTTCAGAAAACCTGAACAAATAATGTTTTGGTGAAATAAAACACAGGATCAGAATGACTGGATGGGCCCTCCAAGCAATGCCAATGGATCCACTAAGCCAGTACCCATCAACTCAGACTCCACCTGTGGGGACAAGTGGATCTGTGAGCACAGATGGCACCAAATCAGGTGGGTGTGAGTTTTTTTATAAGTCTGCTGGACACATCTTCCTAAAGTCAAAGTCAAATCCCAGCCATTCACTTGCTTTATTCCCCACCACAGAAATATGGCGATTTTCCGTAATGTGGTCAATGGCCAGCCTCTCTCCAACTGGTGGGACAACGGCAATAATCAGATAGCCTTCAGCCGTGGCAGCAAAGGATTCATTGTCATCAACAATGATGATTGGTGAGAAACTTGTAACACTAATCCATGAATAATGAACATGTCATGTTATAATACAAATTAGCCCAAAACTGCTCCGTAACTGGATTTAATGAATGTTCCAGGGCACTGAATGTGACGCTGAACACTGGCCTGCCCATGGGTACATACTGTGACGTGATCTCTGGAGACAAGAGTGGGGGCACTTGCACAGGAAAACAGGTGTCAGTGGGTTCTGATGGATGTGCCACCTTTAGCATCAGCAACACAGACGAGGATACATTCATTGCCATCCATGCTAACTCCAAACTGTAGATTCAGTGAGGATATAATTATAATAAAGCAGGATCAATTAACAGTGTGGTTGAGCTTTTGTTTACAATCAAATAATTAATCATATGAAAAAGATAAACCACAGTGTCTTATACAGAACCACAATCTCTCGCAATCTTCCAGTGAACAAGTATCCGATTCCAAACAAGCCAGTGTACTGTTAATAATTGGTATTCCTTCTTGACAAGACTGGACTGTGTGAACTCTGCTGTCTACATTTGGATGACGCAACATGTGAAATAACAACAATGCAATGTATAAACTTTTTTATTCATTTAATTTTTTTATTTTATTTTGTAATACCTTAGAAAATTGTATTGAGTAGCATACTGTAAAATATTTTAGAGCGTCTATTTTAGAGCGACATTTTACTCCTATTGTAAATATATCTTATAACATCATAACATCATAAACATAATACGATTTTTAATGATTTAATGATAATGTTTAAATATTTTGTAAAAAAAAAAAAAAAGAAAGAAAAAAGAGAGAGAAAGAAAGAACAACGATAATAATATATAGTTACCAGCATTACCACGCAAGCATAAGTGAAGCTGATATTGGCGCGAAAATCAAACGCCAGAGGCGACCGTTTATTTTCTGTCAAGATTTTGATTGCTTCTGTGGTGACTGGTGAGTAAATGTTCTTTTTTCCCCACTATATAAAACACTTAAATGTTTTAAAGGGGTCATATGATGTCGCTAAAAAGAACATTATTTTGTGTATTTGGTGTAATGAAATGTGTTTATGCGGTTTAAAGTTCAAAAAACATTATTTTCCACATACTGTACATTATTGTTTCTCCCCTATGCCCCGCCTTTCTGAAACGCGTTGATTTTTACAAAGCTCATCGTTCTGAAAAGCGAGGTGTGCTCTGATTGGCCAGCTATCCAGTGCGTTGTGATTGGCCGAATACCTCAAGCGTGTGACGGAAATGTTACGCCCCTACCATATTGTGATACCCTGTCCGGCCAAACGAGGCATTTGTATCCAGTGGGGACATAATTACGGATTATAATGACGCATCGCGCCGCGTAAACATAAAACCATGTCTGCATGTGTGATCGGAGAAATGACAAACAACAAGCACTACTCTACACT